GATTGGGGGGGGGGAGGGGGGAGGGTGTTGGGGGGCGGGGGGGGTGTGCACTAGTACAAGGCATCACAACCACGACTCATGGCTACCCCGCCAAGTCCATCTACCCCAACTGGCGGTGTGTCTACTCCGCTAGACATGGGCATTAGGCGAGGCGAGCATTACTCCACCCGAGTGATTTTGCCTTGCTTCACTTTCAAGGCGACGCAAGTAATTTTCCAGTGCCCTGGCTCGGTTACTCGTTTTAGGGCGAGTAATCCTGCTCCTCGGGGCGGGGAATTTGTACTCGCCCTGAGGCAAGTATTGCTTGCCTTGTGTTGCATTTCTTCCCCCCTCTTATAGCTAAGTGATTATTTCCCCCCTCTTGTGTTCCGGCTCTATAAAAGTGCAGGCATGTTGGGGATGACTGAAACAGCAACCACGACCATGGAGAAAGGGCATATCGCAAATAAAAGGCACAGAAATCCGGCGTGCTGGTAAAAAATTGACGCGGGCAAGAAAAACCTCAACGAGTGCTTCCCAAGGGATTGTCCGCCTCGTTACTGGGGATTCCCAAGGCGGGTAAACGAGGCAAGTATTCGCCTCAACTGCCCGTGTCCACTACTCCAGGGAGTGCGCTGCCACCCTCTACTGCCCATGCGCCGCGAGAGCTTCCGTGATGCACAGCCTGCGTCAGCGCCTCTGCCGCACAAGGAGCCACCGCCGCGACCTGACTCGATCAGGGTTCAAAATTACGGCGTTTTTTATATTTTTAACCCGTATTTTACGGTTTCGTAATTTAGGGCCGTATAATACGACTATTACAGCTCGAAATCACCTTTTTGAGTTGGTTCAAAAAAACGGCCGTTTTTTACGGCCGTTTTTTTTTATCTATGGTGTACATTCAGAATCTCGAATCCCATACCAGAATTTTGGGAATGGGGGTACACGCGCACCCCCAAATGTTCATAAGTCAACGTTTTCCCGAAGCGCGAATTCACCCGAACCCCGAGTCACGCATTTTACCAAATTTTTCTTGTGCCGTTATGAAAGAACCCCCCACTTCGCAAAACCCGTTGGTTATTTCGCGCCCTGTAGGGTGGTCTCGCACAATTTGCGAAACCACCCTGTCGAAGCGTGTTTCTAAAACAGAACCCAATGGATGTTGGTTCTCTTCGAAGCCTTTCTCAACTCAACTTCGCACTGTGTGAGATACAAATACAGAGGACGTTTTCTAAGCTACCACAGGACGAAGTTTGGAGCGTTTTTCTGGCTGGAATCTAAGCCAGTTTACTCTACCGCCTAGCAACTCCAGATTTCCATGTTTGTAGGTGCCATGGTGCATTACTAAGCATTCAGTTGACGTTGAAACCGCATAGGAGCCATTCCCCTTCGAGAAAAAAAAAACCATGTGCTCTATTTAAATTACGCCGTTTTTTTCCCAAACTGCCCGAAAAAAACGGTCGTAATTTACGGACGGTATTTTTCGAAAACCGTAATTTTGAACCTTGGACTCGACTGCCCCGCCGCCGCCAGCAGGCTCATTGTCGCCCACAGGATGCGGGCGACGGCCTCCAGTGACCATTCTTGCTGCTGGCGAGACAATACCAGCTCCTTCACCTCGAGCAGCCAGCGCTTTCCGGCCTGGCGGAGTTAACTTAACCCTCGGCAGCTGCTGACCGGGCCTTGCAGGAGGACGCGGCGCGGTGGACTCCAGCAGCAGCAGTGTGACTTGGAATTAACAGCATTGGCTGGGGGGACATCACCGCTGCACTGTGTGACTCCCCCTTAGTCACCTCTGTCTTTGATGCGGCTCTCCTACAGTCGCCCATCCCTCCTCTACCTCGACACAAGGTTTGGGAGCCTGACCCTTTAAACCAACGAGGCATGCTTCATGGGTTAGCCTCCTCTTCCCGTCCCTTCGCACCACCCCGTCACCAGCAGTTGGTACTTTGCCTCGCCTTCTTGGACGAAATCACATTCCTGGCCATTCCTGCACGGCAACGTTCACCCACTTCACTGCCGATCTCGGTGCCCTTGGGCTCATGCTCAACCCAGGCGCGTGGGCTCACACGCAACCCCCTGTACTGTGCCGCGCTCCCTGCCAGCGTCTTCTTCTATGCTACATTGGCCTAGCGAAGGGGGCATCACGTGTTTTTCCTCGGAACAGGTGGCCTCTCTAGCCTCCCCGCTGCCCCTAGTTGCTTCCATGGGCCCGCTGCATCTCGCGTCAAGTACCCTACGTTGTCTGCAAGACCCCCCTGGGCCTCCTGCAAGTCAGAAGACTGGTTCAAGTTAGGGCAAACGTTGTTCCACACTCGGGTCGGGCTGGCTAGGGCTGGGCCGGCTTGCAGGCAGGCCCGTGGGGGTACATGGTGGGCCGGGGTAGACCCGACCTCGGGCTCGGGCTGGGCCGAGCCCATAGGGGGGACCCACGGGCCCGAGGTCGACCTTGTCGTCGATCCGCGCGGGCCCATTGTAACAACCCTTGCCCTTATAACATGGGCAACAAGGGTTAAAGTCCCAACTCAACATCCAAGATCCTAGGATATAAAATAGGGTACAAAATCAACTAACGATCCCCTAACGTAGTATTTAGGAGGAACCTCCCCTAAGAGATAGCTTAAGCTTGAGGAAGGCCCTTGAAGACAAGTGTTTGAGACTCTGGTTGGATAGGGCTTCCCCTAGGAGATCACACTAGAAGTCACTAGTGAAGGGAAGCTTGTGAGGAGAGCTCATGACTTAGAGAAAAATCTCATTTCAAGATTGATTTCTTGGAGTGGGAAGTTGAGAATGAGCTTCTTAGCTCAAACCCCTTCTAATGACTCCCAGCAGCTGCTCAACCTCCTCCATGGCTCCAAGGAGGTGAGCTAGCTTATGTGGCAAAAGGGTTGGATTTCCAACCAATGAGAGGTTTACAGCAATATATTTAGATTAGCATATAGTGTACAGCATAAGAATATTCGAGTTGAGTTGGCACTGCCAACCAACTCCCTGGTTCTGATTGGTCGCAAATCCAACCATCGCGTGAGTTGGGAATTTCGCCAACTCAATTTGTACAACTAAAATCTGATTGGTCCCAAGTGTCGACCAATCCTAATCCTCCCCTCCCAACCCTTCCTTCCCATTTCGCGCTACCTAGCATAGGTAGCCGATTTGTGGAAAGCGGTTGGGAAGGTCGTTTCTAAGCCCGCGTACCGTGCAGATGCCATGCGTTACACCCATAGGGGGACCCACGGGCTGGCCCGGCCCGAGGCGGGCCAGGGTCTAGCGTGGCCCAAGCCCGGAAAAAAACGGAGCACGGGCCGGCTTGCCCCCAGCCCATCCAATGAACATGCCGCCACCCAGGTGTCACTTCCTCCCTCTCTCGGCGGCCCCGCAAACTCCATGGTCGAAGGAAGCTCCAGTTTTCTCACCAGCCTCACCAAGGCCGACACGCTATTCACCGCCGTGCCGACGGACCCCAACGGTTTCCTCACTTGACGCCACCTTTCGCCAGTCCAACCCAACTCCCCTTGATACCTGGCTTGCCTAGTGCTCGCAAATCTCCCGGGCGGTGCCAAGGAAGAGGAAAGAGAAGCAAGCCGAAGACGAGGAGGACGAGGACAAGGAGGACCCGAGGACTCCATCAAGGGGTCCAAAGGGGCCAACCCATGGTGCAGAGATGGTTGAACTGCCCACGCACTCCAGGGTGCCTGGTGGTGCCTGGCTGCTAATGTGTGCCTAGGTGCTCGCCGTGTGTGCCTCTAAGTTGGCACCTTACGTGTACGGTTTTTTACGTACGTTTACGGTTACATTTACGTACGTTTACGTGCCTCTGGTTTTAGGCCTGCACGTAGGGGCAGCCTGAATTATTTTTTGGCTGCCCTGGGAAAGAAACCTAGGGAGGATAGAAACAGGGTTGAGCAAAACCGGGTGTTTACCCGACCCGACCCGGTTTCGCAAATACCTGACTTCGGGTCGGGTATTTTCGGGTCGGGCATTTTCTGGTCGGGTAATAAGCCCAGGACCATTACCCGGACCCGGCCTTTGAGGGTGGGTAATACAATACCCGCCTGGCGGGTCCGGGTATACCTGACCCTGTTCACTTAAAAATCGGGTATTGCCCGCCCAAGACAAGCCCAGACAGGGCCGACTAGAGCCGAACCAGCCAAGGTGCAAAAATATGGGCCATGTTATGGTGTTAAACGATCTCTTTTTTTCGGTCATGAAAAAAAGCGCGGTTTTTTTTATCCACAGGAAAAAGTCCTTCAAACATTAAACGACGTTGTTCCGCAGCTATTAAGAGTTATCTCAGCAAACCATTCGGTTTAAAAAGAGGTATGCTCACATGTCCGAGCCCGACTTCTCCTCCTCCTCGTCGTATGGCCCACTGGTCCGATGCTAACGGCCCTTCTGAAAAAGCCAATGCATACTGCAAGCAGCCGATTGGGCAATCGCAGCTACTCCACGCCAAGAGACGCTCCACTCAGGGGCCTGCCGCTAAGCACACCAGTCGTCCAGCAGCAGGCCCTCAGTGTAGTGCGAACACGGTGGAGATCAGAGGGGCTGAGGAGAGCCAATGGGGGCAAAGTGGAGCGGCCATCTAAGGGTGTTAATACGGTATGCGGTACGAATACGAATACGTTAGATGAGTAAATACCGAGTATTGCCCAAAAAAATATTATTTGATCATATTTCGCGCTTTATGCGAATACGAATGCGAGTCGAGTACTGCCGAATACCTTCAAGGTGAGTACTCGTAGTTTAGAGCTACATTTACCTTCTCGTATTTGCGAATATAAGCGAATACGAGTGGTATTCCGAGTACCCCCTATTCGTTCTTCACCCTTACGGCCATCCACCCACTACACATGCGCTTTCTTACTCTGTTCAAATTCTTGCTGACCATGAAGAATGCGCACGATGGAAGGTGACCCCATGGTCTTATCTTATGTGGGCTCGTGGTTTCATGTGGGCTAATGGCTGGTACTACTTGGGCTCATGGTAATATGTGGGCTCATGGTCTCATGTGCGCTCCTTACAGCTTTGTCAGTGCAGTGAGTGAGGAGATGCTGTCAGGAATAGCACCAGAAATGCTTACGGAAACCATTCCCCTGCGTTGGGTGGGTTGGAAGAAGAGTGGAAGTTAGAATTAAGGTCAGATTTGTGATAACCACAGGATGCAGTGTTTTCTGCCACAGAGGGCAACAGCGAGGACTCAGAGCACATGGCGCATCTCAGCAGACAGCAGAGATAGAATCAAGGGCAATGAAGCAAGGGGCCTTTTAGGCGCCAGCATTTGTGGTGTCCACTCCATCCAAGATAGAGAAAGCATGCACTCACATGGCGGTAATCATGCCCGACGGGTCACACGTGAGACCTTCAGCAGCGCTACAGCTGGCTCCCTGGGACCACCCTGGGATCGTCGTCCCCCATGCCTTCTGGCAGTCGCTGAGAAACACGGCTGACAGTTGGGGGCACGAGAGGGGAGGGACGGACCCGTATGTATTGAGTGGATAGAGGCCCACTTTGGGATGGATTGTATTGAAGCATGCACCTACCGTGGATGACCAAGGCATGTGTATGTGATGATTTGTCCGGAACTTGGCCTGCTTCATGTGAACCTGCGATACGAGCTGTGGGAGGGGAGAAAGGCACCTTGAGATGCATGGATCGGTACGTTTGCCGCGTGGCACGAGGAGACGGCGGGCGTGGCAAGCCAAAGCGCCGCGGCGAATGCCGCGAGCCATGTTCGGCGCTGCATCGCGGCCGACTTTGGCGGCGGCATCTGTACTCCTAGTAGTAGTGTAGCTTCGCGCAACAACCGCCGGAAGTTGTGCGGCCTTGGTGGGACCGGCTCCGGAGATAGGATGAGTGGGAAGAGACGCTACTAGAAGCTGACTTCGGAGTAGCCCAAGCACTGACAGACAATCGTCGCGCACTGGCGATGGCTGAAAAGAATATCAGTCAGCGGAGGAAGGGAGGGAGAGGTCGGAGGGAAGCACTCGCGCTCCTCTCACGAGCTCGGCTCTCAAAATTGGCTTAAGTTCATTTCAACCGGTCCGGCCTGGTGAGCGGTGACCCACGGTGAATTGCGAGAACCGTTCCCGACCATGCTGAACCGTGGAAATCGAACTGCATCCGAACAAGGGGGACACTAGGTATGTTCGACACGCACCGCGGAGCGGACTTGCCCCCAACGTGATCCCCTGCTACGACCATGGCTGGCCAACAACCCAGCGTGTCGTCCTTGGACGACCATGGCTGGCCACTCACGCAAGACCGAGGACTGCTGCAGTCTTCTTAGAGCGGCTGTAGTACTGCTTGAAACGGTATGGTGTGGTGTGGTGTGTCCCGGCAAGAAAACGATACAATTGGGCTGGGGGAAGTCCTAGCCAGCCGGCGGTACGCGGAGAGAGATTTGGTAAATCTCATGGCGGGTGGGTTGAGAAAATAACCGTGAAGTGGACTTTTTGCTGCAGTGCAGTGGTTGAATGCACCTCACCTCGTGTTATGAGCTGTAAGGGCGTGGAACAAGCACTTCCAACACATGTCCAGGCGAATGTCGGTTCAACCAGAATCGTTGGCGAGACGCATGGCGACTAAAACAAAGAAGCAGTAACACTCGCTGCGTGAAACACGTGTTTTGATGCTGTCCTCCCAATCGTACCTTGAATACTGAACCCTCGCAGCATGAAGCTGATCGCGCAATTCGACAAAAATCAATAATGTTTTAAAAAGGTCGACCCTTTTTGCGCGCGATGAATGGCTTGCCCACGTTACCCAAAACGGTCAACCCCCCAAGACTGTACCTTACACATGCTGCGCAATCAAGATGCCACTAAGTTTTTTTCGGGGCAACTGGATTGCGCAGCATGTGTAAGGTCCAATAAGGAGGAATACGACAAACAATGACGACGCATTAAGGGTTGCAGCATTCGACAAAGGCACGCGCAATCATTTCGGGCACGTCGTTATCATCCGTTTTGACCAAATTTATCGGCGTCCAGATCATTTTCAAGAGTTCAAGATGAATTAAATGCGATACATAAAGCTACTAAAGTGGCAAAACGCGGTAGCCAGCGAGGTTCATAAAGTTTTCTCTCGAACTAGACATAATTTCCGGCCCTAAACATAAACTAGTCAAAATTCAGCTTCATGGGAAACGAAAAAAAAAAAAAATCGTTCGAAAAATCGCCCGTTTTTTAAATAATCCGAGTAGTTAGCCGTGAAAAATAATCTAGGACCGAGAGGTATCGCGAGATGTTCGCTGGCCTTCACGCGAGATCTCAGGAGGTCTCGTCTTTCCTCGGTAGGCCTCGCCTTTTTGCAGAACGCATGTCGCTAGTAGGACGTATTTTGACCAGTAACTATCCGAATTTCGGCAAAATAGCGGGTTAGGTTTTCGCTGAAATCGGATTCCGACAGGGAACTTTTCTAAAACCATGATTTGAACCCGGATTATGACGGGTGAATTTTGGCAGAACTGCATGTGACATCCGGATTTGACGGGTGAATTTTGACCAAATAGAATGCTGAACATGGATTCTGACGGATAGCTTTAGCCAGATACCTGGATCTGACGAGTGCCCCAAAAACCAAACGTAAGCCCCTACACTTGCGAGAGTCAGATGGCACCAACCCGTGCGTTCGCCAAAGCGAAAATAGAAACCCTCGTCGTACAACAAAAAGGACATGAAACAATCGAAGTCGCGCAATCAACAAATTTTTTATCAAGTGATAAACAGTTGAAAGAGGATTACTGGGTTGTTTCTTGGGTAATTTGCTGCCGGATGAGCAATACTGGGCGGCTGATCTGTACAGACAAGATTTTTTCTCAGAACTAGAATACGTCAGCTTTCATATCTACGTTATTACGAACAATTCTGAATCATCAAAATTTTGGGTGGTTTTCCGTTCTGATGGACAGAAAGATGTATCGACCATTCTAAATACGACACATAGGCACAAACATGTTTCAACCCCCCAAACGCAACAGAACTCCTCGGTTTTCGTTAATCTTTTCACTAGTGGCCCTTCTTCGTTATCCGCGCCATAAATGACCCAATACTATGGAAAATGGAACTAAGTGGGCCGTATTAATATGAATTTCGTGCTGACGTTTATTCTCCAGAACAGTAATGCAATATTGCTAATATTATGCTTTACAAACCAGATACAAGAACATTCAATCAAATAATTGATGAACTAGACGCAAGTTTGTGGTCGAGAAAAATATTATATGCGTGAAAAAAAATCGGAGTTGCCATCGGAAGAACTAAAATCATCGTACCACGAATTCATATTGGGTCACATACTATATGTGTTCTTATTTTTAGCACCGTGGATGTCATCTAAAGAAATTTTGAAGCTTTTGCAGATATGTTGAAATTTTATGTGTTTGATCTATGCAAATCAGCCACTTCGTATATTAAATAGCCTCTGTTTTTTTATTCATATTTCAAACAATATGTCGAGATAAATCCAATTATGCACTGTATATTCAATTAATATGTGATGTATTTATATTAATCGTAGCACTAGGTCATTTGTAGCGTGGATGACGAAGAAGGGCCACTAGCAACTGCTTTACTTCAACTGTATACTACAACTGCTTTACTTTCCTATTTTCTATATGTTGTTGTATGCTTGTTTCCTTTAATCAATCACTTGCTCTCACATACTAGTGCAAGGGTTCAACTACTCAACTCTTCCGCTGCACTACTCAAGTATCTCGTACAACTGGGACTTAGTCTCTGAAAGATCCTAAGGGCTTTTTCTCAGCCCAACATGGTATGAGAGCTGGCCAGAGACCAAACTCCCAGCAACAACACTCTCTCTACAGTTAACACTTCAACAAGCTTCATCGATTATAAGTCATGGACAACAAGGGCAAGAAGATCTCTACGCGCTCACCCAGCGCCCAAGACACTCAACCTGGCAACTCTGGACTACACACTTCAGGACTTCAAACCGAGACCGGCGCTGCTCAAGAAACAACAGGAAGAGCACCAGAAATGATGACCCCATCACCCTCCTCAAGCGTGGACCCGAACCTCATGGAAAGGTTCTTCAGCTTCATGTCGCACTTCGACCAACAGCAGCAGACAAGGACACCTGCACATTCAACACAGAGCAACGGAGGAAACATGGGATTAGCGCCAATGAGTGTGAGAGTACGACCCCGTTACACCACTTGGCCATTTCTTATTTCTTTCCTATCTCATTTCACTTTTTATCCCATCTTATTTGGTTTCCTATTCTTCCTTTTTCATTAACCTTTGGGTCATCCTGCTATTATAATTATATCACCGACCAGGCTTAGGATGTACTGGTGCGCTCTATCTAGCGTAATCCAGCCGTAATCCCTTAAAGCCAATAGCTTCACGTGGCTATACGCAGGGTGATTCTATCTTCTAGAAGGGTCTATTCCCTTAGGATAAGATAAACCTGGTTACCTGATGTACTCTGGAAGTATAAAAGCGCCTTGTACTGATCGATAGTGCAATCTTTCCTCGAGTCATTCGATCATGTAACAATTGGTATCAGAGCCTTTCTCACTCGGCCGCGCTCAGCAAAGCAACAGCAGCGGGAAAACCTGCCTCGAAAAACAACCGGGGGCGACCAATTCGACGCCGATTCTGGTAAGCACCAGCTCCGCGATTTTCGAATTACCCCCTCCGTGCGTGTGTTGAACAGGATGGCAACCTTCGACAACGCCGAGGTTACCCAGCAGCTCTTCGCGCGCATCGCAGGCCTTCAGGAGGAAATGCGAGCGGATCGCGAAGCATGGCGAAACGAGTTCAAGCGAGTAACTCGACTCGCCGAAGCGCAGCACGCAACGACAACGGCGACGACGCAGCAGTCGCAGCAGTTTCTCGAGGCTCCGAAACCGTGCCCACCTGAGCTGTTCGATCCGAGCGATCGAAACTCCGACGCCCGCAGATGGATCGCCGGGATGGAGATCTGCTTCGCAGCCGTCGGATGGAGCTCGCCAGTCTGGGACGGTCAACGTGTACGACTCGCGGCGACACTGATGCGAGGGCCGGCACTCGAGTGGATTGGCGGCAACAGTACCTTCATCCACAGTGAAGCCACGTGGCAGCAGTTCTGCGCCGACCTGCATAAACGTTTCAAGCCAATAAAGTCAAGTTTCCTCGCCCGGGAAAAAAAATCATCGACACCGACAGTTCGGGAGTGTAGCGCAGTACACGCAACAGATGGAGGAATTTTATAACCGCATTCCCGACCTAACCGAAGGGGAAAAAGTACAATCGTACCTCGCCGGGCTGAAGACCGAAGTCAAACGACAAGTCGCAGCGTCAAACTACGCGACCTACAGTGACGTCGTTTCGGCAGCGGAGCGCTTCGACATGGTCAACGCCAGAACACGACGAACGCACGTCGGCAGTACGCGATAGGGCGACCGCTCGGCTCACTCCACGTTCGCCGACCCGATGGAAGTCGACAGGTTCGAGGGGCGGCCACGTCCGAAAAACACCAATTATACGTGTGATTTTTGCGGGGTGCCGGGTCATCGAATCTTTGACTGCAACAAAATGAAAGCCGCACGCGCAGAGTATCGGGCACGCAACAGTGGCGGAATTCCTTCGGCCTATAAGAAGCCAAAAAATGGGAGTCGCCAGTGATTGGGGATGTAGCTGGCGAAAATAAAAAGATGCGGAAGCGGCCGCGGGATTTCGGGAAAATCAACTTCGACGAAGCTGATTCGACGCGAGAAGGAGAAAATGATGGGGGAAAATCTCCACCCCACGACCAGTCTTCGCCAGGGAAAAACGCCGAGGAAAAATCTGACTCCGCGAAAAAAGACTCTGCCGAGACGGGGAAACTCTTTGAAGACCCAAGAAATTATAAGAATTCATTAATGTTATCTTATAAAGATGCTTTAATGAAAACTTATGATTTTCGAGGAGCTAGAGCCTTGGAGAAATTTCGGGAGGGACTCCAAAAGAAGCAGACAGCTGTGGAGATTATACCGGTACCGGACAACTTGGGGAAAAAATTGAGGAGTGTGGAAAGAGGCCGACCTTTCCACGGAGTCAACGTCCTCTCCCGACACCAGCCCACAACGACCACTCGTTCCCCAGGGAAGACGTCGGTGGAGCTGAAGCAGCTCAAAAGGAAGCTGGGGGTCTACAAGAAGCTGCACCAACCCCGAAATCCTCCTCCGGGTGCATCCAGTTCTTCGGCATCAACGACGCGCACAGTCGTCAAGGAAACTCCGGGCCCTGGAGAAGAGCCGTTCTCCAAGCAGCCTCGGCCAGCTGCCAGCTCAGGAGTAGATAGCAACACAAAGGTGTGTACGGAATATTGGGGTGTACCCTATGACCCAATCAAAGAAACTATCTTTGGGTACTCCGAGCAACGCCTGCCCCTCGTGCTCGAGGTCATCTGCAAAGGACGACGCCTCCAAGCACTCGTGGACAGCGGAGCATCACACACCGTCTGCAACAAGGCACTAATCGACCGACTTCGGGAAGAGTACAAGCCTTCAGAGTTCTCTGCAACGATGGTGGACGGCAGTAAGTTACCGATACACGGCGAAGCAGTGCTACACCTACAAATTGGACCACTGCGCTGGAGACCTGCACTCCCCATCACCAACATCAATGGGCTTGACTTGATCTTCGGGCGAGACTTCCTAAAAAGATTCAACCTTGAGATCAACTGGGTGAACCGCACCGCAAGCATCTACAACAATGGACGGAGAGAACAACTACCCAACTGGGACGATACAGGAGATATCCCAGTGGAGACACTCGCGCGATTCGAGAAGGACGTGAAGCAAACCGACACCGGGTTCCTGGCGATAGCAACAGAGGTGGAGAATGACGGAGAGAAAGCCTCGGAACCTCCAGGAAAGATCAAGGAATTATTGAAGGAGTTCCAAGACATTCTTCCGGACGATTTTCCGAACGAGCTACCGCCATACCGAACGCATCAACACGAGATCGTAGAGGAACCGGGTTCGAAGCCGACCTTCCGAGCACCATATCGGCTCAGCCCTACGGAGCTGACCGACATGAAAAAACAGATCGAGTATCTCCTAGCCAAAGGACTCATCCGACCATCCACTTCGCCATACGGTGCCCCAGTACTCTTCACACCAAAACCGGACGGAAGCCTGCGCATGTGCATCGACTACCGAGCTCTTAACAAGCAGACCATTAAGAATAAATATCCGATACCGCAAATCGATGACCTGCTTGACCAGCTTCGGGGAGCTACGGTATTTTCCAAACTGGATCTGCGGTCCGGATACTGGCAGATTCGGATGGCGGACAACTCTATCCACAAAACTGCTTTCTGAACTCGGTATGGATCGTACGAGTATCTGGTAATGCCATTCGGACTCACCAACGCACCGGCAACGTTCCAAGCCAAAATGAACCACATTCTACGACCACTTTTGGACGAATGCGTGGTGGTGTACCTGGACGACATACTCATCTACTCGCGCGACATGAAGCAGCACGTCGAACACCTGCGACGCGTCTTCGAAATCCTTCGACGAGAACGGTTCTACGTCAAACTATCCAAGAGCGAATTCGCCCTTGAAAAGGTCCAGTTCCTAGGACACATGGTGAGCGCTCAAGGAGTTCACATCGACCCCAAGAAGATCGAAGCCGTACGTACGTGGAAGACACCCGAGAACGTGAAAGAGTTGCAGCAGTTCCTAGGCTTCGCCAATTACTACAACAGGTTCGTGCCATAGTATGCGAAAATCGCAGCACCACTCACGAATCTGCTGAAGAAGAACACGCCCTACAAATGGGAGCCGAAGCACCAGGAAGCCGTGGAGCAGCTGAAGCAAGCACTCACGTCCGCACCAGTACTCATCTTGCCAGATCCCGAACGCGACTACGTCATCGAAGCTGACGCCAGCGACCAGGCAGTGGGAGCAGTCTTGATGCAATACCAGGGGAATGGACTGCAACCAATCGCCTCCCTCAACAAGAAACTGCACGGGGCAAAACTTAACTACCCGATACGTGACAAAGAGGCCTTTGTCATCGTCATCGCCTTCAAAGCGTGGAGATGTTATCTCGAAGGACGAAGAACAACCGTCTACACCGACCACTGCAGCCTGAAATATTTGAGGACACAACCCAACCTTTCCCGGCGGCAGGTCCGGTGGATGGACTTCCTCGAGACACACTTCCACTACGACATCGTGTACAAGCCCGGCCACAAAAACAAAGCAGATGCTCTCAGCCGACCTGCACACGTTGCCGCTATTCAGATCGAAGGGATGAATCCACTCCTCAAGGGACTCTTCACACACGGGTACGCCATCGACCCCGAAATTCCCTTGGCAGAAAAGCGACATCTGCTACAGTAGGACAGTGACATCGCGTACCGGAAAGGATCAACGAAAATCTAGGTACCCAATTACCCTCCTTTACGCCAGTTACTACTCGAAGAATACCACGACGTCCTCTACGCCGGACACTTCGGTAGCAACAAGACGCTGACCGGTATTGCAAAGCACTACTACTGGCCCCACTTGGCAGAAGATGTTCAGAAATTCGTCACCTCGTGTGATACATGTCAGCGGATGAAGAGCAGCAAACAGAAGAAGGCAGGACTACTACAGCCTCTTCCTGTCCCAGAACAACCATGGCAAGTGGTTAGCTTGGACTTCATCACCGGGTTACCACCTACCTCCAGCGGTCATGACGCCATCCTTGTCGTCATCGACAAATTCTCCAAAATGGGACACTTCATCCCGACACACACGACAACACGCACCGAAGAAACAGCACAACTCTTCGTTCGATACATCATCTCACAGCATGGCATTCCAACCACACTCATTTCCGACCGAGACCCCAAGTTCACCAGCAAGTTCTGGAAGGAACTTATGTCTCTCCTCGGGACCAAACGCGCCATGTCATCTGCTTACCATCCGCAGATAGACGGACAGACCGAGCGCCTCAACCAGATTGTCGAGCAACTCCTCCAAGCAGCCTGCAAGGACGAGATCTCCAAATGGGACTTGCATCTGCCCGTTCTAGAGTTTGCTTACAACAATGCTACACATGCCGCTACTGGAAAGACGCCGTTCTTCCTCTGCTACGGCCGCCACCCACTCACACCACAACAACCGACAGCATCAGCTACAGTCCAACCTGCGCATGATTTCATCACAACCATGCATCAGCTTTGGGATCGGACCCACAAGCGCCTACTCGACATTCAACAGCAACAGAAGCGCCAGGCCGATCGCCATCGCAACGATCACACCATCACGGTGGGAGACCATGTGCTTCTTGACACCCGCAACCTGGACATCAGCCATCTCCCATCTAAACTTCGACCTCGCTTCTGCGGGCCTTTTCTTGTTGAAGCACAGGTTACTCCTGTTACCTTCCGCTTACGCCTGCCAGCTACCTGGAAGATTCATAACGCCTTCCATGTCCAACTTCTGAAGCCCTATCGGGATCCGAACACAATCTTCATCAGACGCCAACCGCCGCCGCCACCGCCCGTCCTCGTCCACAATGAACCCGAATACGAGGTCGAGTCCGTGCTCGCACACCGCCGTCGTCGGAATGGCACCGTGGAGCTTCTCATCCGTTGGAAGGGTTATGATCCTTCTGAGGACAGCTGGGTACCTGAGTCCGACATGGGTAACGCCCGTCGTCCTCTGCATGCCTACCTTGTCAAGCACGGTGTTACTACTACCACCCAGCTTTGAGGGGGGGAAGTGTGAGAGTACGACCCCGTTACACCACTTGGCCTTTTCTTATTTCCTTCCTATCTCATTTCTCTTTTTATCCCATCTCATTTGGTTTCCTATTCTTCCTTTTTCATTAACCTTTGGGTCATCCTGCTATTATAATTCTATCACCGACCAGGCTTGGGATGTACTGGTGCGCTCTATCTAGCGTAATCCTGCCGTAATCCCTTAAAGCCAATAGCCTCGCGTGGCTATACGCAGGGTGATTCTATCTTCTAGAAGGGTCTATTCCTTTAGGATAAGATAAACCTGGTTACCTGATGTACTCTGGAAGTATAAAAGCGCCTTGTACTGATCGATAGTGCAATCTTTCCTCGAGTCATTCGATCCTGTGACAATGAGCCTCGACAACTCATCGTTCGGGCGACACAATCAAACGTTCGTATCACTCTTCTCCGAGGACGTTCGAGTTCATGCCGCCCTTGTGAGAGTACGACCCCGTTACACCAATTTCCCCTTTCCATATTTCCTATCTATTTCATTCGTCTTTTTATCCTGATTCATTTGGTCTTTATCTCATCTCATTTGGTTTCCTATTCCTCCTTTTCAATTATCCTTTGGTTTATCCTGTTATTATAATTATATCACCGACCAGGCTCGGGATATACTGGCGCGCTATATCTAGCGTAATCCTGCAGTAATCCCTTATAGCCAATAGCCTCGCGTGGCTATACGCAGGGTGATTCTATTTCTAGAATGGTCTATTCCCTTTGGATAGGATAAACATGGTTACCTGATATACTCTGGAAGTATAAAAGCACCTTGTACTGATTGATAGGGCAACATTGAGCAAACCTTTCCTCGGGACATTCGATCCTGTGACACTTGGTTATCAGAGCCAAGGTTTCAGCTCAACGCTTAACCGCTGGGCCCCCAGGAGCACGCGGAGGATGGAGTCGAAACTTCAATTCCTTTAAGTACAATGCACTTTCATTTAAGTTTCGACTCACCTCTCGCAGTTGCACCTGGGGTCCCCTTCGAAGGCGATATGCCTCGCCAACTATTCGATGGACTGCATCGACGGTGCCGATTATTCGCGGGGGCAAACGGCCTCGACCTGGCGAGCGCGTCAGTTCCGACGGAACACTCCCTGCGACATTCGGAGTAGTTCGCAGTTCGCGACAACACTTGGGGTTGCGCGGAACTCTGCGGAGGTTCGACCGACGACATCCGTCCGATGGAGATTCGACGCTTCAGATCGACCGAGGCGATAACGAAATCCATCTGAGCGAGTTTGCGTTTCGGCGCGAATGGGAACGGGACCTCGCAGGCCGCGAAGTTTTTCGGAGCGTCCGATCGTTCGACAGCCGACATCGACGACCGAGAATTGCTGCAGGAAACGAGTCAACCCGGGCGCCGAAAGCTGCTGAACGGGACTCAGGAGTATCCTTAGATCGCTTTGATTTTGGACCGTCGGATCGACTTCTACTTCAACGGACGAGATGGAGCGCGACTTCTGCACGAAGGGAGAATGACGCGCAGAACCAGAAATTGGCCGCCTTCAACAGCGTTGACAACATTTGGACAACCAAATTCGGACTCCTCTATTTGGTGACGAATATGGTGCGCAAATCATCTGCAGAGTCAGACATCTGCCAGAGTATTACCTACTTGGTAATATCTGCATGCAGAAAAATGACAGGAGAACGTGGATCGTCGGATCGGTGCGGAATCAACGGCACGAATGCAGCGGAGACTACACTATGGAAAATCATCACAATGGAGACAACATTCGTGACTAGGGACTGCACAATCGACGCATCTTCTAACTAGTGTCGATAACGATCTATTTATTTTGACGAAGTCATCTTCGTTAAAAATGGATCGACATCAACACGACGGGATTTTCACCCAGGAAAAACAATGGAGCTGTGTAAAGACATGTTCTCCATCCACGGGACATTCGATCCTGTGACAGCCCCGTGCCCAACCGACAGCAGCTCCATCACAACATACACCCAACGAAATATTGAGTCTCCAGGCGCAGTTTTCACACGTGATCCTCATCGTTCAACGGACACGACTATTTTACGTGGAGCTTCGAGTTCGAGCTGCTGATGGAGGCCGCGCATCTCTTGAGATACTTCAACGGGTCCCTGCCATTTCCAAGCAACGGAACTGCAAAGGAGCAGGAAATCTTCACTTATCAGTCGCTGCTGGCGTACACAGTTCTCTTGCGAAACCTGTCACCACAAGAACAACAGAGCATCAGAACGTATCGGAGCTACGGAAACTCCGCGAAGCTCGCATGGCATCATCTCAAGTGTCTCTACCAAGCAAACGACAGCGTGACACAAAGCAGACTCATGCAGCAGTTGACAACAATACAAATGAAAACCGGGGAAAAGGCGATGCAGTATATGAGTCGCTGCCAAACACTCCGCGATCGCCTGCTTCGGTGCGGAGGTACAATCACTGAAGAAAGCTTCGTGACACTTGTCCTCGCCAGACTCGGGCCAGAATGGAGAACCACCCGCTCGCTTCTTCGCGCCCATGGACGAATTTCGGAGATGCACCTCTGCGCCGAGCTCCATGCTGAACAACAGGAGATGGACCTGTTTGAAGAAAGGCAACCAAGAAACATGCAGCAACCGTTAGTCTTCTATGCTCAACGAAGAAACGACAACTACAATCGACGTGACAGGCAGCATCGACACGACACCAAAAGACTCACCATCATGCCGCCGTTCTGCCACAACTGTCAGACATCCAGACACTCCAAGGTTAACTGCACCCGCCCGCGAGTTTATCGTCCAGTAGACCCACAAATCGCTTCCACTCAAGAAAGTCCGCCAAGGCGTTCCTCCACATCTGCACAATGCACACCGAATATCATCAATTGTATGGTACGCATCGACAAATGCGCACCCGGATCACCACCCACTTACGCTCCAGACGAAGAAGAACTGCCGCCGCCGCGCTCCCAAGGCCTTCAGGTCAACCCAACGTACGCTGCAGTCGCCAACGCTGAACCCACAGGGCGAAACACCCGGTTCTTGGACAGCTGTTGCGGCCAACACATGTGTTCCTCCGGACGCTTCGTGCAACGAGAACGATGCCTCAACCGCGATGTCATCATCACCGTCGCCAACAACGAGAACCTGAAAACAAACAGACAAGGAGTGGTTCAGTTGCAGTCCACAGAGACAAATGTCATCCTGCAACTCAACAAGGTTTTAATCGTCGACAACTTGGGATACAATCTGCTAAGCGTCAGCCAGCTAATGGAAAAGGGGATTCACCTGGAATGCGACTCGGACGCCAACGAATTTCGTCTTTACCACGGGAAGGGCGGCCTCTTCATCGGCCGCGCTCTCCTGAAGTCAGGTGTTTTCGTGTTGGATTTCGTCCCCGACTGCGGTACTGCCGACAGCGATGGCATCGTGTTGTTCGCCGCCTGGACACACCCGCCGGATCTTGACCCTGACTTCACCCCAGGTGGATTCTGGTACTCCAACACCAAACCTGCAGCAGAGCGAACACGAGCGTTAGCAGTCGTTCGACAAGAAAGACAAGTACCAGCAAGCGTCCCTTCCCCGACATCACCTGCAGTAGCAACAGCAGGACCCAGCCGTGTACCATCACCAGCAATCCGAGGACCGCCAACCGAAGCAAATCAACTTATGCCCATCACCCGAGAAGTCTGCCGAAGTCCCGCCACGGTCGTCGCGTTCTTCTCCAACGCCGACATGTACCAACGCTCACCCGGCCATCGCGCTCCTGACGACATCTGGCATCAACGCCTCGGGCATCCTGCGAACAGCACAGTGCTACAAACCATCCAAGCCGAAGTGTTAGAAAGAAACGCCCTTCTTACAACGAGCGGCCAAGAACTTCGACGACCACCCCCACGATGCTTCACGTGCCCCGAAGTAGATCTTCCCCACCAACCTTTTACATCACACCACAATCCAAGTGCACCTGCATACGAACCGAAGGACAAGGTCTACAGTGACATCTTAAATATGCCTCGAGACGACAGTGAAGCAGAATACAACTACGTTATATCATTCATCGACACAGCAACAAGATACGTCTGGCACTACAACCTCAAGACACGAGATCAAGCGTTCGAAGCCTTCACGACATGGCTGCTCATCGCCGAACGAGAATCGGGCTCGCAACTCAAGAGCTTCCAGTCAGACGGAGCACTGGAATACCAGTCACAACGATTCAGGACCTACTAGGGAGAAAGAGGCATCAGACGCTTGGTGTCACTGCCCTACACTCACCAACAGCAGGGGGTCGCAGAGAGGATGAACCGGACCTTGCAGACGACGATGCGAAAGCTGCTCCTGGGGATGAGACTGCCCAACACACTGTGGCCAGACGCGATGACGCATGCAGTCCACCTGCACAATTTGTTGTCCTCATCATCACTTCCCAACAACGCATCACCGCACCTGCTATGGACACAAAAAAGGGGCAGCACAAAATTACTTCGAGTTTTTGGGTGCATGGTACAATACAGACCCCACACAGCTCGAGCAGGACGCTTCACTCAACGAGCACGGTGGGGACTACACCTCGGCATCGCAAAACATTTCCAAGCATGGAAACTCCTCGACATACAAGACAAAAATACCGTGGCATCACGTGCTGTGATTTTCTACGAGCGACTGACGCTGCAGCATTACCTGGACAACGTCGCCAACACAGACGACCCCACAGACGGCTTCACGGGCCTTTGATCCTTCGCCGATCGTGCTGCCGAAGCTAACTGTGAGAGTACGACCCTGTTACACTATTTTCCCCTTTCCATATTTGCTTTCTATTTCATTCCTCTTTTTATCCTGATTCATTTGGTCTTTATCTCATCTCATTTGGTTTCCTATTCCTCCTTTTCCATCATCCTTTGGTTTATCCTGTTATTATAATTATATCACCAACTAGGCTCGGGATGTACTGGCGCGCTATATCTAGCGTAATCCTGCCATAATCCCTTAAAGCCAATAGCCTCGCGTGGCTATACGCAGGGTGAT